CCCCTCCAACCTCAGGCACTAGTTTATTTAAGAGCCTTCTTTACTGTTCAGTCAGTTCTATCTGATACTGGCTTTCTGTTACACACTCATCTAATTAACCCTTTGATTAATAGAAATGGAGAGGCTGACTTTGTTCACTTCCTGCTTCCACTTCTTCCTTTGGGTAGGTTTCTCAATTATTTTGACCTCTGTTTTCTCACCTAGGAATAAAAAACTACTGATCTTTTAAAAATTAAATAATATACTACTGATGTCATAGGATTGTTGTGAAGGTCACTTGAGATTATTAAGTTCCTCATACTGTGCCTGACACATAGGAAGAGCTGCGCATGTTATATCATTAAAAATCATAATACATTCCTAAATGAGTGACTTAGCCAAGGTCTCTGCCTTTCAGTTCAATATGCTTTCCTAAAGATGTGTAAATAAGAATTGGAGACCTCCTTGCTGGCTTAGCTACCAATATTTTCTTCATCTCCTTTATTTAAAGATAAGTGCATGATTGTATGTTTCTCTTTTCAAGCTAAAGACACTTTCAGCATTTCACCCATTACTACATTTGTAAGGACTTCCTGAATAGAAAAATTAAAGGTTAGTCATTCCTTTAATTGTTTACAGCACTTTTCCTATAAAGTTGTGTGGTTTCACAGAAGCTAAAGTTTGTTTTTGTTGGTTGTTGTTACATTAATGCACTCCATTTCCCAGCATAAGTGGGTGAGTGTCACCCTGACTTGGGTAGAGCTTAAAAGCACAGGGAAAACCTCTGGCCAATCAGTATTCACATGTCTATATAGATAAATTCCATATTTTCTCTCTGTCCTGCCATGTCCTGCAGGGGACAGAGCAGCAGTGGTTCCATTCCTTAGAGTCAGCAGGACACCCAGAACCCCACCCACACATCAGGTGAGTACCACATTCATTTAGAAGAGTCTGATAACCCAAACATTGTAAATTAGACCTCTTTTTCCATTATGGAAAGTTTTGGGTTTTTTTTTTTTTTTCTGTTTTCTTCAGTAAAACTATGGGTCAGAACCCACCACAGGAATTACTCCTTAGTTAGACTGTTTGTTGATAGTTAAAGGGACTCTAATCTTTTAGTAGTCAGTATTTTAAAATGCTGAGGGGTGGGTGGAGAATTATGAAGGTCAAAGTTCAGGATTGGGGAAGATACATGAACAATAAGGACTTAATCTTTTAGGAAACTCTAAGGTAGAGAAAATTAGACCTAGTTGATTCAGGAGAAAACATTTGTGTGTCCTGCTGTTTTATGCCAGGATAACTGACAGTGAATATTAGCTACAGTTTGATTTTGGTGGAAAGAGTCTAGGCTTTGGAATAAGACAGTCATGAACATGAATCCCAGCTATGCCACTTACAAACTGTGATTTTTGGACTGGTTATATAATATCATTGCGCCTCAATTGCCATATTTGTGAAGGAAGGCAATAATCTACAAGGATTTTTTTAGGACAAGATATTTTTCTCATGTAATTAGTGCTTTGTAGATGAAATCTCACATCATGGTTGTGTTTCTGCCAGTCTTGTTGCTGACCATATCAAAATGTTCTGTATATAAGGCAGCTGGCACCTAAAAATGGGTCTATAGACTTTGAATGTCCATAACCACATCTTGTGCAAGATACATAATCAATTTACTCATCCCTAAAGAAAGGATACTATTCATTTATTATGTTGAATTGTTAATATTTGACTGCTTTATTCATTTCATATGATTCATATCACTCAACCATTTACCTCAATTTCAACAAGGGTCAAATGAAATAGTATGAATGATTTAAAAAGTGCTTTGTAAAAATAAGGCTATTATTATTCTTACTGCAGGTTTCAAATCTACATTTAAAAGACAATGAAAACAGAGGACACTTCTACTTGTTCAATAAAAGTAAAACTTAAATCAAATCTTGCTAGTGTGTAAGAAATTTGAAGGGACGACATGAGGTTGGGGAGCTTTCTGCTTGCTTTTTCCCTCCCACTGTTCGGAGGATCTTAAACTTATGGTCAGGTGCTGTCCCTAGAACGTACTCCTTTCTTTTTGTCCATACTTAAAAATCCCAATCCCATAATATGCAGAGTCCCTGGCACAGAATGTGTATCAACATGGTGAATGAATGAATGAAAGTAGGACCAACCCCTGGAAAGTCACCAGGGGCATATTTTTGTACAAGTGATATCAGATGAAACTTAGCATCCAGGATGCAACCTTGAGTGGAAACTGAATTACCGAAGAGTGGTATTGAGTTTTATTTTATTTTCTTTATCTTCTTAATTGAGCTATAACCATAGATAGTTTCTGATAAAAGTTTATGCTACTAGAAGGAAAAAACCTTTCTCCTGTCAGCGTCATACATGCCTGAAAATTGGAGAAGCTACATGTTTATCGACCAGTGAAAGACTGATGCTGTTATCTTGAAATTCAGTAATGAGGGGGACTAAGGAGGCAGGGATAATTTAACATGATGAAATGTTTAGCATCTACTGGCAGAGGCAGTACATCCCCTTTGTTTCCTCCCTCTTGCCTTGTTTGGAACTGGAGCTGTTGCCTAGAGCCAGCAAAATTGCTTGATTTGTTTCCAGTTATTGTACTAACAATGGCTGTTCCCAGGTTTACACCTTTAAGATAAGACACCACCAGGTACTTGAGTGGCATTACTGTATATTCTGAGTCCTTTAGCCCTTCATGGAATTTTCATAGTGTTGTTTGAGAATTCCAGGTTTTTATTAAATAGTATATGCAAATGCATTAATTCCTTATCTCTGGATATAGTTTAGTACTCCTGAATTTTTAATGTATTTTTCAATTTCATAAATAATGTGAGATCCTCATTTTAAGTAATAATCATTAATGAAATAATGTCTGTAAATTAATTTTTTAAAGATTTATTTATTTATGCGTACAAGAGCTGGGGTACGGGCCAGAGGTGTGGGGGGGTGAGAGGATTCACCAGAGACAGAGTGGGGAGCAGAACAGGCAGACTGACTGAGATACACTGCTGCGGGGAGCAGCGGGCAAGACAGGAGAGGTCTGCTGCGCCCTGTGGGTCAGCTCCCTGACCTGTAATTAATCAATAGTGAGACTGTCAGCATCATCGTTTTTATAGAGATTTCATGGGCCTCCACCCATTTCTAACATGCTTTTAGGACTTGTAAATAATGGGAGCTTATTACCGCCAAGTTGGTTTGAGTGCCTGATGCATTGTTATACCAATTACTGAACAAGAGTGTTCCAAACAGGGAAATGCTTTATTAATGGGGAAATGGTACTGCCTGAGTGATGGCCGCCTAAGCTAAAATCCAGCCTCTGGATTGAAAAGGTCTGAGGTTGCTTTTTTTAAAAATTTGAGTGGGTACGTGCTGGGGTTGGAATAGGGTACATATAGGGGTCGGAGAAAGGAATTCAACTATTTTGAGATAGTGCATAAATCAAAAAAAGTGTTTAAGGAACTAGGTATTTTGGCAGGGGCTCAGGTGGTTGTCTTAGTGACGAGTCGGATCATCCTGTTCATCCTTGCCACAGACGTTCCTGCACTGCTGCCTCCCGATCTTATCTCCTTATGCTGGAAACAGGTTCATGCAAGAGAAAGGTTTCCTTTTAGGGAGATTAGTTAGAGAGTGTTACTCCTTGATTCCTATGGTGGTTTATATCCAGTTAAGGCTAAAGGCTAAGTTGGCTAAGAGGTAGAGGAAATTTAGACAATGTTCTGAATAATTAGGCATTAGAATGCTATTGATGTTATGATTAATTTTTAAAGAGCACATGTATTCTTCATTGAGAAATTAAAAATTTTTCTTTAAGTTTTGTATTTAAACTGTTCTTTGTTGAGACAATAGATATTGCTGTTGAATAACAAGTGTTAACTATTGCTGTTTTGTAATCAGTCTTTTATTGTTTCCTGATGGTATTTTTATTATTAGAGATCGAAGTTCTCATTTGGATTTAATGCCTTAGGCATTTTCCATTAGTTAGGTATTTCAATTTGTATATGAGAAAATTTTGTCTTGTGGTTTTCTTCACAAACGTTGCATTGTGACTTTTTCTAAAATGATTTATTTAATTGAAAACCTTTTTTTCCTTTATAATGATCTGTCAGATGAAAATGTTAGCACCATTTATTTCTTCCTGAGAGAGGAATTGCTTTTGCATTTGCTTTTTTTTTTTTTTAATATATTTGCTTTGCTTAGCCTTAGACTATCCTGTCATTTCATCTGGGATGAGGAGCCAAAAGTCTTTTTGCTCTAATTAATTCTACAAATAATATCGAATGTTTATCATGTGCCAGGCACTGCTTTACATATTAAGCCTCCAAAGAGAAATGAGAGAAGCGCTACTCGTCAGAAGCACCTAGTATATAGACACCAACAGGTAAAACTGCTAAATGTCATTCTGTTTCTGTGTGATATGTGCTACACAAGTGGCACGGGGCCGGGGGACACAGGGAGGGAAATCTTGGCCAACTCCATCTGGAAGTTCAGGAAGAGTGTTAGAGAAATTGAATACATAACATTGGAAGGAAGTTAGAGAATATTAGCCTTGAGCTGAGTCTGGAAAGATGAATTAATTTGCCAGGAATAAAGGCTAAAGGACATTGTAGGGAAAAGGAACTGCAAAGATAAAGCCTGGTGCTTTTGGGAAATTGTGAGTTGTTCCATTTGGCTGGAGGACGCAGGATCTAAGCAAAAGCTAGAGAATGGTCTCAGATCTGTGCAAGTACATTTTCCTTGGTGGCTGATTGACTTTCTGTATTATGTAGTGGAAAAGAATTGTGGACAAAATGAACTGTTGAGTGGGGCTGATGGAATAGTTATGAAAGCATTTATGTGATGATAGAAAAATAATAATAATACATTAAATTAAAAAATACTTTTCCTGAAAATCCCTAGAATCTGTTTATCACTGGAAATAAAGTTGTTGAAAGAGACAGGAAGCAAACAAACGCTGATTGTTGATATTTTCCACGCTCTCCCACAGCCTGTCAGGAACAATGTTGGCCTGGGTGCTGTGGTTTCTCCCTTTACTCAGCAAATTCAGCCTGGCAGGTAGGTCAGCTTTAGCCTTTTATAGATCATGTGATTCTTATTGCCATCTTTGGACAAGAATTGTTGATTTTAGAGCAAAGGGACACCCGAACTATGGACACACATGGATGGACAACAGGGGATTTGTGAACTCTCTGGATTACTATGGGTGGGCATGTGTATGTTCTGTATGTGAAAATTGGTTGAGATGGGCCATCATATTTTTTAAAATAAAAATTTTTTGCACCACTTACCTCTTTCGTGTTTTTCCCCTTCCACCTCCCTCTTAATAAATCTCACTTTGGTGATCAATATCTGCTAGTTCGTTGTTGGTGGGAATTTTATGGAGAATACACAATGACGTAAAAGATATAAATTAAAAAGTAAATAAATAAAATGCATTTGCATTAAAACTGAAAAAATCAGCTACTTTGTAATTGTTTTGCTTTATCGGTTCATCAACTTTGATTCCTTATTTTACTTATCTATGTGAAATTGTCCAGTATCTGTATTCATCATTCTGACTAGCTTTGCTATACATGATTCCCCCAAGCTCCATCTGTTTTGCTGTAAATGGTAACATTGCATCTTCCTTATAGCTGGGTAGTATTCCATGTGTGACTATACCACATCTTCTTGATGCAGTTTCCATAGTTTACACTATTCAAATTTTTTGCTTCTTCTTGGTCAGTGTTGGTAAACTCTATTGTAAAATTTTCCATTTCTTTCTTAGCATAGAGTTGTTAGTAGTAATCACTTAGTAGTAATTACCATAGTAATTACTAAGTAATCACTTATGATCCTTTGTATATTTCTGTGTTATCTGCAGTGATTTCTCTTCTTTTCATTTATCAAAGTTTTCTCTCTGTTAAAGACTTTGTTTACCTTCTTGAAGAAACTCTTCGTTTCATTGATCATTTAGTCTTTTTGATTTCTATTTCATTTATTTCTGCTGTAGTTTTTATTATCTCCTTCCTTCTGCTAAATTTTTACCTTGTTCTTTTTCAAGAGGCTTTGGGTGTAATTTTATTTTTATTTATTTATTTAAAGATTTATTTATTTATTTATACATACAAGCACTGGGTACAGTCAGAAGTGCAGGAGGGTGAGAGAATTCACCAGAGCCAGAGCGGGGAGCAGAGCAGGCAGAAGGACTGAAGTACACTGCTGAGGGGAGCAGCAGGCGGCAGGAGAGGTCTGCGCGCCATGTGGGACCCTCCTCCGGTGGCCGGGGAGCAGCTGGGGATCAAACCTGCGCTGCAGAGGCTGCGGGCAGCTTCGCAACCCAGCGCTCAACTGCTGCGCCACCGGGGAGGCCCTTTCGGTGTAATTTTAATTTGTGTATTTGGGATTTTTCTTGCCTCTTAATGTAAACCTGTATTGCAAATAACTTCTCTCTTAAAACTACTTTTATTGCATCCCATAAATTCTGATAGCTTGTACCTTCATTTTTATTAGTCTCCAGGTGTTTTTCAAATTCTGCTTTAATTTTCTCTTTGGCCCAGGGGTGATTGAGCAGCATGTTGTTTTATCTCCATGTGATTGAGGCTTTTCTAACTCTTAAAAGTAGTTTATTTCTAACTATGCCTTTGTGAGCAGAAAGATTTGCTTGGCATGATTTTATTCTTCATAAATTTATTGACAATTGATTTGTGTCTCAACATGTGGTCATTTCTTGAGAATATTTTATCTGCTCTTAAGAATAATGCATATAGTTTTGGGGTGGAATGTTCTGTAGATGTCTATTAAGCCTATCTGATTACTTCAGTATTTAAGGCATTGTTTCCTTATTTATTCTCTCTCTTGTTCATCTGTCAATGGTTGTAAATGAAATATTAAAATCTCTTACAATCTCATGTTGTTTTCAATATTTCTCTCAATTTCTATTAGTGATTATATGTTTTGGTGTGCAACGCTTGGTACATATTTACTTATAAGAGTTATATCTTGTTGTATTTAGGCACTTAACAATAATATAATGTCCATTTCTGTCTCTTATTACCTTTTTTTAAAAACTGGAAATCTACTTTATCTTACTTAGGTATGGCTGTTCCTGGCTTAAAATTTGCTTGTAGGATTATCTTCCAACCTTTAAGCCTGTGCTTATCTTTAGTAGTAAGACAGCAAAAAGTTGGACTTTGTTTTGTAAACTAGTCACTCTATCCATTTTAATTTTGGTGAATTCAAGCCATTTACTTTAAGGTGATTATTGAAACGTATTTATTTACATCTTATTTTTTTCATTTTATCATGGTCTTTATTTTTGACACCTTCCTTTTATGTCTTGTTTGCATTTCATTTCTACTGTCTTATGTGTTACTTCTATCAGTTTTTGATTGAAGGTTATACTACGGTTTGTCTGTGATGGCCTATTCTTGTGACCCAGGGAGTGGTTTGATCTCAAACTTGTTCTAATGGTTTACATTTTTGCTCCTCTCCTCCACATTGTGTAATGTCAGTGTCTAGATGAGATTTGTTGTTTTATAATAGTCCCTTATTAGTCGCAGGTTCCACCAATCTATTGATGACTTTCAGTGAGGACTTCACTGTACAGGCTTAGGAAGGCTCTGTCTCCATTTCATGTAGCCTCTTTTGACCACCTCAGAAATAAGTTATTTCTCCCAGTTATTCTAGTTAAATTACTAATTATTTGCATCATGATTCTTATCTACTCTCACTGTCCCCTCAACTTGTCTTTTACCATATTTTCTCTCTCTTTTCTTATCATATTTTACTTAAATCATCTCCTACATAACGGGCTCCGGTTTCCTTCTAGAATATCCTTCCATTGGTCTCTGTCCAGTTGTGCCCTTCTATTTCAAGACTTTCTTATAAAACACTAACTTGGCAACAGCACCAAAGTAATATGAACATAGAGGGGAAAAGGGATATTGAGAACATCTTATTTTTGAAAAAAGCTCTTCTTGCATGTGGAAACTTCTCTGGTAAACAAGAACAGTTTCACACCATTTCTTAGTAGAAATTTAAGGAGTATTTCCCCTTATTTCTTGAAATAGGGGAAACTGTTATTTCTAGAATTATAGGAATATAGGGTTTTGTTTTTGTTGTTTGAGTAGGTGGAGGAAGGATTGGGGAGGGACTGGCAAATCTAGTCTTCAATTTTCAGTTTCTGAAAAATAAAAATTTGATTTTTGAGTAATTTTAGAGTTACAGAAAAATTAAGATCACACAGATTTTCTGCATAGATTAGGAAACTCTTCCATATTTATCAGTGAACCAACACATCCAGCTTTTGAACAGCCTGTTTTTATCAAAATGTGCAATGCTGGAAATATTTGTCATGTACTGAAATTACTGTGTTTCCCCCCCCCAGTTCTGCCAGCTAAGCCTGAGAACATTTCTTGCATCCTTTATCATAGGAAAAATTTGACTTGTAATTGGCATCCAGAGAAAGAAGCCAAGTATACATGGTACAATGTGAAGAGGACTTAGTAAGTATGAGAGCTATGTGCTGTGGGAGTATGGAAAGGAAACACAGACTTCTGGTTCAGTCATGATTCAGGTCATTTATAAAATGTCATTATGTATACCCAGTGGCTGGGATAATGTTTCTGCTACCTGCAGCCATGCTGACAGCATTTATAACTACAGAGGGAGGAGATGTGTACCCCATATGGAACCTCTTCTTAGGGCTGCCAAATTGGCTGAGAGTAGTCACCAGTTGAAAGCACAGTGAGATTTCTATGTATCTAATATATTCAACTATATTCCTCCTTCCAAAATGTGTTATAAAATTGCTCATTCTTCATAGATCTAGCTCTAGTAAGCAGGGTTGTGAACCTAGAACTGAGAGACAGATTTATCTCAGTCTGCCAGCAATTTGCTGTGTGATCCCCTGTCCAACAGTATTCCATCATGATAGTAATTCTTTAAGATTTCACTACTTCAGGCACCCCTTTTAATTTGATTGGAATAAAAATTACACTTTTATAATTATAACTCTAACCCAAAGCTAGATGTCTTAGTATATCTGTGCAGGGACATTTTAAAAATAGTACATGAATCCCTTGTGTTGTCCTAGGAATGATGCCCATAATGGGAAGTACTGAAAGATGACCTTTGACCCTTTTCCATTTCAAAAAGGGAATCTATAGTTCTAAGTTTTTGTTTGTTTTTAAATACAAGATCTCATATATATATTTATTCCCACTCTTTGGAAATTGGTAACTGGTATTGTAAGAGAGGTCCTCTTCATGTTTTAGAGCACAAGAAAGTGGAAAAAAAGGCAAACAATATTATTTGCAGTACTGATATACTAATGAATATGTCAGAGCGATGATACAAGACAAGGGTCAACAAATATTTTCTATAGAGCCAGATACTTACTACTTTAGACTTAAAAATCAGTGGACCTGATTTTTCCCCATAGAACCTGTTTATAAACACTGAAATTTGAATTTCATATTATTATCACATGCTGTAAAATATACCTGCAATTTTTTTCTCCAACCATTTAACAATATAAAACCTGTTCTTAACCCTTGGGTTGTATAAGAACAGGTGGTGGGCTTTGACTTATGACTGTAGTTTGCTGACTACTACTTTAGAAAATAAGAATGACGAAGGTGAGAAATCCATGGTCCAAATGACTTCTCTTTTCCCAGTCTTCTTAGTTTTAGTCCCAGTCGTAAACAGGAAGTACCTGTAAAATGAAAATCTGGAAACTTCCATAGGATTACTCCTATTTTTGTGTTTTAAAGAATCATCCTTCTTTAAATTATCCTTCCACCATATCATTAAATATAGATAAATTAAAAACTCGTTTAAAATTCCATCTATGTGTCTATCATAATTTAATCAGCAAGTCCTCTTTTTTTTTCTTCTAAAGATAAGTTCTGAAGGTTAGAATCTGGAGTTCATGTCAATTTTTTAGGAAGAGGAAATACATTGTGAGTGTATCTTTTGGTAAGCTGACAGCATTGCAAGGAGGCCTCCATGGTTCTCAGGCAGGCAGGAAGCAGGTAACTAATCTCTTCTTGGAGGTGAAGAAAGAATTTGGAGAGAGGGTCACTAAATCCTGAACTGTATAGTTCTGAAGAGCAACCCAGAGTGAAATTAATGAATGTATGCTTAATATATTATATACAGCTATGTTTCAAACTGCTATACCAAACTCATGTTGAATCACTTTTTCTTTTAAAGCTCTTATGGGAAAAACAATGATAATTGTACAACTAATAATTCTAGAAGTGAAGATCATGTTTCATGCTCTTTTCATTCAAGAATAACACCACCAGATATTTATACCATTCAAGTGGAAGCTCAAAATGCAGATGGTATGATTAAATCTAATACAACTAATTGGAGCTTGGAAACCATTCGTAAGTGTGATTTGATATTTTTATAAATTCTTTCAATAAAAGATAACCCCCTCTTTTTTTTAAAGCAATATCTGTAAACTACAAAGTAGACTCAAAATCCAAGTATAGTGTAGGTATGTTTTATGGATGTACAGAAGATTTGTTTTCTTATTGAAGAAGGAAAGAAGAGAATATGGCAGGAAGGGAAGACAGAAGGAACCACAAGTAGAAAATAAAAAGGACAGAGAGGAGAGATTTTTCTGGTTCCTGATTTTCTGGTTCCCTGATTTTCCTTGCAGCTTATGCTTTGAGTTATACTCAAAGGAAGAAAGCATTTTACTCACTGAAAACATCATTGTGCATTTAGGAAAAGTAAAACTTGTTTTTAAAAACTCTCACTAATCATTTTACCTTTTAAATTCTTTTTCAATAACTCATTTTTACCACTTAATTTTTTAATAAATGGTGAGATATAATTCATGTGCCATAAAGTTCACTTTTTTAAAAATGTGGATGACAGTTCAGTGATTTTTTTTATCATGTTCTCAAAGTTTTGCAAATATCACCAGTATCTAATCCCAGAATATTTTTGTTATTCCAAAAAGAAACTTCATATCCATTAACAGTTCCCAATTCCTTATTTCACCTTTCCCCCAACCTCTGCAACCATGAATCTATTTTCTGTTTTTATAGATTTCCTTATTTTGGATATTTTATATAAATGTAATGATACAGCATGTGAGTTTTGTATCTGATTGTTTTAAATACTGTATTATTAATATGCATGTTGTAGCATTATCAGTACTTTATTCCTTTTTATAGTTGAATAATATTCCAGTGGAAGTGTTAGGGGGAAAAGGATGTCCCAAAGCTAATTCCATATAGGCTTTGTGGACTCCACCCCCACCCCAGGTCAAAGCTAAAGACACTGGGAACTCCAAATCCCATCACCACCAAAGGGGAGGTGGCTGGGACCTGAGGGTGGGGTTAAGCAGCCAGGTGGATACAAAAGGCAGACACGTGGGCTTTGGGGATCCCCCATTTTTGGCTCTCCGCCAGCTCGCAGCGTCCGGCCAGCTCTGAGAGTGACTTTGGGTTTCCAGGTCGTCGGATCGGGTAGGATGCATTAAAGACTTTATTTCCCTATTTTCTCCCTGAGTTGTACATTTTCCTTATTTCTTTTTCTCTTGTAAATAAACCTTTTATTAACCCTTTTGCGTGTGTCTGTAGTAGAGTATTCATAAGTCCCTTTAAAGCGCGTGGGTGAGGACCCACAGCCAGGAACCCGTTTAATATCGGGGTTGCTCTATAACAGAAGGATATACCACATTTTGCTTACATACATCAGTGGATAGAAATTAGATTGTTTTCACTTTTTGGTGAATACTGCTTCTGTGAATAATTTTGTAGTTTTTGTGTAGACATGTTTCAGTTCTCTTTGATATACTCCTACCAAAATTGCTGTGCCATATGATAATTCTTATCTTTAACTTTTTGAAAAACTCTCAAATTTTACCAAAATGAGTGCAACATTTTCTATTCTCACCACCAATTTTTAAGGGTTCTAAATTTCTCCATATCCTCACCAACAGTAATTATTCATCCTTTTTTATTATAGTCATCCTAGTGGGTGTGAAGTGATATCTTATTGTGGTTCTGATTTGTATTTACCTAATGAGTGATGAGGTTGAGTATCTCTTCCCAGGCTAATTGGCAATTTGTGACCTGCTTTGGAGAAATGCCTATCTAAATCCTTTGTGATCCTTCCATTATTGATTTTTAAGAGCTCTTTTTATTTTGGGTGTACAAGTTCCTCTCTAGATTGTGATTTACAAATATTTTCTCCCTTTCAATGGGGTTGTCTTTTCTGTATCTTGATGGTGTCATCTGAAACAGAAAATAAAATTTAATTTTGATGAATCCAATTTATTTGATTTTTTAAAATCCTCTCTAGTGGATTTTAAATTTTAATTATAGTTTTCAGTCTCAGAATTTGTTTTGTTCCTTTTTATAATTCCTATATCTTTGCTGATGATATTCTAATTTTGTTCCTATTTTATTTCCTTGACTTCCCTTAGTTCTTTGTACAAGTTTTCTTTTAGCTCCTTGAACATAGTTAAGAAAATTGTTTAAAATTTTTTGTCTAGTAAATCTGATATCTAAACTTCCTCAAGGACAGTTTCTATCAATTTATTTTATTCTGTTGAATGGACCTTGTTTCTTCATGTACCTTATGATTTCTTTTCTTGTTGAAAACTGGGTTTTTGAAAAAGTAGTCACTTCTAGTCTTTGCAGACCAGCTCCTGTTGGATCTGTCCTTCCTAGATATCTGGGTTTGCTCTCAACCTAGGAATCAATCTCAGGTGGAAGCTTAAATTGTTTTTAGGTTTTTGCTAAGCAACTTGCTGTTGATAGAAACTATAATTGGTATAGTTTTTCTGAGAAAGCAAAACAGCACTGTATGGAAGCAGCCCTGTGAATGTTCATACCCTTTTACTTAATCATTCTATCCTAAGGGGATCCAAGGAAGCTCTCAGAGATTCAAACAAACATGCACTTATTTATTCACTTAACAAATATTCGATACCTGCTAATTGGCAGATATTAATTCTAGGCCCTGATCAAGATCCAACTTTTGTTCTCAGGTAGTTTCAAAATAAAAAATTGGAAGCACTATGAACATGCATCAGTAGAAAGTTTTTCCATTAAGTTTTATTCATCGATTCCATACACTGCTGTTTTGCTTTCTCAGAAAAACTACACCAATTATAGTTTCTATCAACAGCAAGTTGCTTAGATATCTTTAAGGGAATCATGATTTGAATTTTTAATATTAGTGGGAATATGCTGATTGCCTAGTGTTACTAAAAAGAACAAAAGTTTTATTTAGCATAATATCAACTTTGTTTTACTTTTTAAAAATTTAGTCATCTCGATAAACTTTTGAAGTAGGTTTTTAAAAAAATTACCTCACACAGATAAGTCAAAGGCAGAACTAGAAACTTTTCTTTTATTTATATTAATTTTTTTCATTTTTTTGTTTTTAAAAGTTTTCATTGAGGTAAATCGGTTTACAATACTGCATAACATTTAGGGAAATATGTTCACATCACACTCATCACCATCCATTTTATTTTAAAAGTACACAGATTCTTACTAGAAAATGACCTGGAAGGAAATCAAAATGTTGATAATGGTTACCTAGTAATGGTTATCATAAATTTATGAATGATCTACAGTTTTTCTTTGCATTTTTTTCTTTATTTAAAAATATTGGAATGATCACCATTTACTTTAATAAGCAGAAAAATATACATATTTTTAAAGAGAGAGATTTGGAACTGGAAAGTTTACATTATGCAGGGAAAATGAGAGATGTTTTATACTGATATTAGACTTCCTTCATCCTGGGGTATCAAAAAAAGAGAGGCTTATTTATTTTTCAATTGGGGTGGATGTCATTAGCACATTCTGACAATTTTTACAAATATTGTTACCGAACGCCGGCCTCAGTTTCCCTCAGCCAATAAAAGGAAACTGAGTTTGAGGAAAAGGAAAGCGGTTTTATTTGTCGACAAATGAGGAGGGAGGCAGACTCATGTCCGAAAAACCACCGTCCTGCTCTTTGGCAGCGGGCAGGGGTATTTATACAGGGGGAGATGGGTAGGGGTCCGCGAAGGGGCGGGGGAAGGGGTCCGCACAGAGACAAGTGGGCGCCAGCTCAACAGGGAGATGGATGGGTGTCAGCTCATTCATCTTAAGGGAAGGGGAAGGTGTCAAGGCACAGAGACGGGTGATCGGGTGATCGCCAACTTGTTTTCCTTAGGGCGAGGGGGAAGGGTCTACAGGGAAACCGGTGGGCGCCAGCTTGTTTTTCTTCCCAAGGGGAGGGGAAGCTGCAACAAATGGGAAAGACAAGTCATCAATCCTGTTAATGCTAGATAAGGGGAATTGCAAAAAATGAGGGAAAGACAAACTTGTTAACTGTATCAATATGAGAACTGAATGATCTTTATTTTCAGTGAAAACCGAACCACCTGAGATTTCCAGTGTGAACCCAGTTTTGGACATCAAAAGAATGGTTCAAATAAAATGGACAAGACCTATGGTTCCATATGTTTTAAAATACAGACTTCGATTCAGAACAGTAAATAGTACCCACTGGGTAAGTTATACCATTAAATTTGTATCAGAGGGCCCGAGGAAGATGATGACTTGTGTTAACCTAGAATCATCTTGTCCATTTTCTACAGTGAAGATAGATAATAGTGAGTGCTTTGCTCCAAGTTTCCCATTTTATATTCCGAGCAGAGATGTAGTCATTTTAGATTTGGAGCAGGGGACATATTAAAGAGTGAGAAATTTACTTTTGCATCCCACCCTGGTTTGTGGCTTGCTGTCCTGGCTGCTAGAGATTCTATGGTTTGGCCATTTTCTTTTTCAAATTTTCTTAACTTCTATAAAAGTATTAGCATAACACATTTAGAAAAATGAGCAAAGCATAAGTTGTGCACGTAACAAATTAAGTTGTGCTCATGTTGAAAACCACCAAAATAAAAGCTAGCATGCCAGATAGAACCCCTGCTCTACCCTTTCCTGATGACAGTCCTCTCTTCATCTTAGAACCATTATTCCGATTTTCATGGTAATTACATCTTTATTTTTTGTTGTGGTTTTACTGTGTGAGTCTGTATCCCTGAACAACAGAGTCTGAGACATATAAATGGAATATGGACATTTTGTATTTTTTTGTCTTTGACCACTTCTCTCAACATTGTTCTTTTAAGTTTTAGTCATGTTTTAAAATGCTATAGATTATACATTTTCATTGATGTGTAGTTTTCACTGCATGAGCACAATGGAATTGTTATAGGACAGGGAAAGGGGCAGCCCAAACCCCGCAAACCTGCCTATTCTAAATGGGTTCTGCCATCCGCCGCATCAACACAAAACATAGGAGACTTTAATGGGAAGGAACTTTAATAAAACCTAAGGCAAAGAGTCTAGTTTCTAAATGAAGCACCCAAAGCGTGGGTAAAAGTCCATCCATATGGGATTCAAAGCCTGCCACAAGAGCATCTTCCAGTGGGACCCACAGCAAAGGGTCAGAAATGACCAGACAAGCCCCATTCAGCTGCCAGTCACCTCCCCATGGGTCTTCTGTGTCACCCAGTCTACGACCAAAAGACAAGCGCAGTTTCTTCATGTGTCTCTAGGCTCCATGCGCCTCCTCCAGGTCTCCTGGCTCCATCCTGCTTCCTTCCTTCCTCAGTCTCTTCTGCAGCTTCTCCTCTTCCTGCTCAGCTCCACAGGGAAATTTTCCTGGGGACCACCCTGTTGCAGAATCATGCATTTACCTGACTTTTCATAAGCTGTACACCTTTTCATGAGTTTATTGGCCATTCAGAGTGCTTTGTTTTAAAGCTTTGATGTAAGCGTGTGACACAATTTTTCTGTTGGATGATTCATATGATTTTTAAAATGACTTGTATAAGTTCCTTGTATATTCTTTTTCTGAGTCTTTGGTATGTGTGTTGCAAACACCTCTTGCTGTGTGATTTGCTTATTCATGAAAATAATAAATTTTAAAATTTGAGAAATAACTGCTAGTTCTGAAAAGATAAGAAATGGCTGGGGGATGAAAAGGAAAAATGGAAAGACAGCATATGGTCTCTCTTCCAGCGTCAGGGTTTTCTCTGTCTTTCAGATGAATGTTGACTTCAAAGAAGAGTCCGGTGAAGTTGCAATGTACAACCTCACAGGACTGCAGGCTTTTACAGAATATGTTGTAGCTCTGCAATGTGTGGCAGAGAAGTCAATGTTCTGGAGTGACTGGAGCCAAGAGAAAATGGGAACAACGAAGGAAGAAGGTAAGTTGGGCCCTTGTATTTCTTTTCCTGTCTACTCTGATTGAGGGTGACCTGGGTCTAGCCTTTGTGGATTTTGTCAGTGGCAAGGAATCATGGAGAATCTGCGCATTCCCTCTTTGTTTTATGCAGTGATATTGTAATGACCCTGACTGATGGAAAGCTGGGGGCGTTTGTGATAGAGCAACTTAAGCGATCAATCACTTGTTTAAGAAGACACACAAATAGACGTGCAAAAGGCAAGGACATAAAACCTGGCTGTGTGAAGAGGCCCCACCTAAATAAAAATTAACAGGTGGTCCTGGTGAGATGCTTCTGAAAACTGACATAAATACAGGCCCCAAAGTTGAGGCAATTTGAGATACTTATGGACTCATGCCTTAAGTCATGAAACCCTCTCCAGAGTTTGACAAGAGCCTCGGGGACTCTGTCTCTGAGAAACGGCACTCCCTTGTCCTTGTAGATGAGGGACTCTGGGAGTTCTAGGGACTGGTCCCGCCTGCTCTGTTGCCAGTCTTCCAAACTTTGCCTCGAGGTTTGTTACCTTCCCGCCTTTTTGCTGTCAATTTAATTGTAGGATCAGTTATTGAAATGAGGGTGTCTTTCCCCCACCCCAAATAAATTCATACTGTCGTTATATGCATTTGGCTGAGTCCTGAGTAAACCTTCCTGCTTTGCTGGAAGTTAGGTCTCAGGAGATCTAAAACCTGATAAAACACCCCCAGGGCACTCACCAACCCTCCTAAGTCCATAGCATAAACCAGTCCTCTTCTCAAGGTGTTAGTAACCTTAGCAGCTTTTTTTGCCCCAAAGACAAAAGATCACATCTTAATCATAACTGTAAAGTTCTTATGCTATATGAGGAGCATATTATTTATATATTATTCAAATATTATTTAAAGGTAGCCTGTGATAAACTAAAGATGTATATATTGTAAAAACCCTTGAGCTATTACTAAAAGCAATAAAGCTACAACTAATGGGAAAAAAAGAGGTCACATCCTGGATGGCAGCAAGGGAAGGAAAGAGAGAGGGACTGAACACTGAGTGAATGAGGTCTGGTAACGAAGTGCACGGTTGTGCTTGAGTCCACAGCATGGCTTAAACCCCACTGGCTTGAGTGACTTTGGGCAAGAGACCTAATCTTTAAACCTCGCTTCCTCACTACTTGGTCACTTTTTCCTTAATGGAATATGACTTGTAAAATTGAGTTAACAGTCGTACTTACTTTGTAGTATTGTATTAAAAATTAAGAGAAATATTTAACCCATTGTAAATAGACAATAAATCCCAAATTTCCTATTATTAGTGTTAGTTGTCCTATGAGATTACATATAAATAAATAGTATTGTTATAGAGCAGCCCCGATATAAAGAGTCCTGCAGACTTAGTGTGCTTTATGGTGACCAATGCAAGGAAAGTTACTTTGGGCTGGTCAACCACGGGTGTAGCTTGGAAACCACGTTGAGCTCCAAACTGCTACGGAGCAGCCCCTATATAAAATGGGTTGCCTGGCTGTGGGTCCTCACCCACGCGCTTAAAAAGGGACTTATTAATACTCCACTACAGGCACACACAAAAGGTTAATAAAAGGTTTATTTACAAGGGAAAAGGAAATAAGGAAAATGTGCAACTCAGGGAGAAAATAGGGAAATAAAGTCTTTAATGCGTCCTACCCAATCCGCCCACCTGGAAACCCAAGGTACTCTCAGAGCTGGCGGGGAGCCAAAATGGGGAATCCCCCAAAGCCCACGTGTCTGGTTTTATACCAAACCTGGCTGCTTAACACCACCCTCACGTTCCAGCAATCTTTCCTTTGGTGGTAATGGGATTTGTAGTTTCCAGTGTCTTTTGGCTTTGGTCTGGAGTGGGGGCGGAGTCCACAAAGCCCGTATGGAATTAGCTTTAGGACATCCTTTTCCCCCTAACAGTATCACCCCTAGCTGGAGGTGAGGATGCTAAATTTAGAGATCTTACTAAATTGTCCAGGGTCACTCAGCAGATGGCCATGCTCTTAAGTCAAGAGCCTTACCAAGTACTTGACCCCATGAGACAGTCTGTTGTGCCCAACGTCGACCAGTGCAGCCCCCAAGGACACACAGACAGCCACTGTAATCATAAAGGAGTTTATTACGGCTCGAGTCCGGGCTCATGACACGCACCGATGTAACAGCAGAGGTCAGGAGCCCTGAACAAAGGGAACAGGGATCTTATATAGGGTTACAAGCAGATCTCTAAAAATTAAATCATGTTGGCAAACATTCATTGGTTACACAGGTGCATTTCCTAACAACAGTGGGTGCAGAGTTTCAGTTTTTGAGCTGATTGGTCACATCAAGATGCAGCTCTATTTTATGGCTAGTTTGACCCTATTAGTGGCCTGAATTGCTTGGCTCCTCTGTGGCTAGCCGACTGAGATAAGACCAGAGTGGGGTGGGGGTCAAACTCTGGAATGCAGTCTTTTCCCGGGACAGCAAGACCTGAAATTCTAAAATGGCAGTTACACACAAAATGACAAAGCAATGGCTAAGAATACTTACACTTGGTTCCACAAGTCAATTAATGTTTGATGAATATATTAGTTTCTATGACCACTGTAACAAGTTACCTCAAATTTCATGACTTAAAACAACACTTTTTTTTTTTCACCTATAGTTCTAGAAGTCAAAAGTACAAAGTCAGTTCCAGTGGGATAAAGTCAAAGGGTAGATAGTTTCCTTTTGGAGACTTTGAAGAGAGAGTATGTTTTCTTGCCCTTTCTATCTTCTAGTGGTTGCCCATATTCCTTGGTGTGTGGCCCCTCCCTCGATCTATAAAATGCATCACGATTACTCCAGTTCTGCTTCCATCATTACATTGTCTTTTTCTCTACTGTATGAAGTCCCTTTTCTCTCTCACACTGACATTTGTGATGTACACATAAGTAATCCAGGATAATCTCTTTCTCAATATCCTAACTTAATTGATTTTGTAAAGTTCCTTTTTCCATATAAACATTTACAGATTCCATGAATTGCTAGCTCTTTGAGGGCCATTTTAGGCTAACACAATGAGTGAATAAATGATTTGATGATTACTTGATGATGGCCACACTTCATCTTCTGAAATATGGAAAAGAAACACAAAAATTCTTGATGCGAGCCAGCCACAGCAGTCTGGGTGTCAGAGGTTCCTGAAGGATGGGAAGGCGTCGGTGCAATTGTAGAGAATGATAAGGGAGGGGGAATGCGGAGACGCAAACACTCAGTCAGGGTGCAGGCATCTTCCTGCTAAGGGTCTCAGCAGTCCTTTATTTATACATTTCAAGCAAACCGAGTACATAAGCATATGCATTAAGGTAGGAAGATAACAATCATCACATCTTTTTCAAGAGCAGCCAAGGGTCTGTTTGCCTTCCTGCAGAGGTTGTAACATTTATTATTCTTTGTCTTAAAGAAGGCACAGTTGCTAAACAAAAATGTTCTTAGAGTAGTCATTTACCTTAAACAACCAAACAGTCATTTTATTACTAGCAAAAAACCTATGTGACTGCAACTAACATTTCTATGTTTGCCATAGTGAAGGATTAACTAAGGGTTAGGGGAAACAAAGGGCAGGAAGTTACCTGGGGGAAGGGAGACAAAGGGATTTTTTTTAACTAACCTATAAAGTTTAGACTAACATATAACCAAATGATTAAAGCAAAAAAAAACAGAAGACTTTTATGTAGAAATCATTATCTATAGTATATTGTTTTAATATTGATTCGATATTAAGGAACTAAGGGCCTGGAGGACGTTAATGCCAGGCAAGCCCCACTGACTCTTCCCTAGCCCCCAGCTCTCAATGAAGGGAGGAATTCTCCTAATCTAAACAAAAGAGTTTTTACCTATTGCTTCTCTACTTATGTAGTCAGCCTAGTTTCCCTATCTAACTTTAAGATCAAGGGACAATTTCCTTTTCCATAAGATAACTTAAAGAACTAGACATAAGACCTGAAACCATAAAATACATAGAAGGAAATATAGGCGAAACACTACGTGATTTGCACATCAAAGACATCTTTACAGACACATCACCCAAAGCAGTGATAGTAAAGGCAAAGATAAACAGCTGAGACTACATCAAATTAAAGAGCTTCTGCACAGCAAAAGAGACAATAACAAAAACAAAGAGAAACCCCACAGACTGTGAGAACATTTTTGCACACAACACTAATGATAAAGGACTGATCACAAAAATCTACAAAGAGCTGATGAGACTCAGCAACAACAAAGAAAATAATCCAGTCAAAAAATGGGCAGAAGAGCTAAAAAGAAACTTCTCTGAAGAGGAAATGCAAATGGCCAACAGACATATGAAAAAATGTTCAACATCACTTGTAATCAGGGAAATGCAAATCAAAACTACCATGAGATACCATCTTACACCAGTGAGAATGGCACATATTAAAAAAACTAGCAACAACAAATGTTGGCGAGGGTGTGGAGAAAAAGGAACTCTCCTGCACTGTTGGCGAGAGTGCAAACTGGTCCAACCACTATGGAGAGCTGTGTGGAGATTTCTGGACCTACTAAACATAGAGCTTCCATATGATCCAGCAATTCCACTCCTAGCTATTTACCCAAAGGACACAGAAACATCAATTCCAAAGAGCACCTGCACCCCTATGTTTATAGCAGCGCTGTTTACAATGGCTAAGCTTTGGAAACAGCCCAAATGCCCAAAAATAGATGACTGGATCAAGAAGATGTGGTACATATATACCATGGAATATTACTCAGCATTCAAAAAAGATAAACACATGCAATTTGCAGCAACATGGATGGCGCTGGAAGGGATCATGCTCAGTGAAATAAGCCAAAAAGAAAAAGAAAAATACCGGATGGTCTCACTCATAGCAGGAATCTAGAAAACTTAAATAAGGGACCAGGAAAATGAATAACTATAAGAAAGTGAAAATCAAAATCAACAAAAAACTATGAACCAGAGACACTTTTTGGGGGGTGAGGGGCGGGAGGGGA